ATGAAATGTTAAATTTTTCATGTGTCTAACACAGTTTTGCAATATTTATTTCACAAAATCAATTCAGTGATGTTCAAAGCCTACTTCCATAACAGTCAGAAAACAGGTTTAGAATAGGAGCTGTTTCAATGAGCACACATGTTCTGGTTTTCTGTCCACTGGGTTTTGTGAAGGTAAAATGGTAAGTAACAAGTCATGGCACAGAAGCATTGCTGAGGGATTTTGATGGATTGAAACGTTTATTGTGGAAGACATAAATAAGCGTGGTTTCCTACTGGGGGTAGCAGGGTCACAAGTAGAAATTATCACAGAGGTGCCACTGGGTCACTCTGTGGCCCTGCAGGGGGTGTGTCGTTCCATTAAATCTCTGTTCACTCCTGATATGGGACAAAATCCTGTCATTTATGGGAAGCAGACAAAACATCCCCATTAGGTTCGGGGCTTGAGGAAGTGTGGGAGTGGGGGAAGGAGCGACTGTTTTGATAAACTTTCATTAACCCTACAGGGTGCAGCAATAAAGATAATGAGTTAGAACTAATTCCATTGAAAAAAAATTAGGGCAATTTTAAAAGATACATACACAGCTGCTGTGGTGAGATCTGAAACAGGTTGGCCAGATCTGAGCTCTTAGAAATTAGATTTGTGAATGTGGTTAGTTTCGAAAGTAGACCATGGGGTACATTTTAATACCTTTAGTAGAGGACTGGGTTTTATATAGTTCATCTGAAATTGTATTTTGCGTAACCTTATCAGTTTATGTACTTCAGGAAATACAATTAACTGAACAAAAGCCTGTGGAATCGGGTCTGGCTGGTAAAGTGGCATCTTATTGCAATGGTTATTTAACAGAAAACACATCTCGGACTGCATGAGCAAGCGATGCTTATTTTTGCACATCAAGATTTGATGGCTGAATTTTATATATCTATTAGATATTCATTCAGAGTTTCAGCCTGGCTTAGTTGGTAGCACTTCTTGTTTCTGAGTCAGAAGGTTGCAGATTCAAGCCCCACACGAAGGCGACTTTTAACTATAATACACTGTTTAGGAGAGCACTGCATTGTTGGAGGTGCCGTCCTTTAGATGAGATGTCAAATTGAGGTCCCACCTGCCTGTTCAAGTGAACGTTAAAGATCCCAAAGTTCGCAGAAAGAAAAAAGAGTCTCTCACTGTGTCCCAACAACAATCCACTCAGACAACATTATTTGTTCACGTTATGGCTGTTTGTGGGACAGGGCTGTGTGCAAATGTGCTGCCATGTGCGCCAATAAAACACACAATCATTTCACCCCACGGTAAAATTCTTGTGAAGTGCTTTGAGATGTACCTGCTGACATGAAAAGCGTTGCATCAAATGCAAGGATTATTTATATTGGTGTGTATCACCGTAGTTTGTGAGAGAGTGTTGGTGTGGGTGATCCACAGTTTGTGAGGCTCTAAGTACATCACTGTTTCAATGAACTTTTACCCTTGTCCGAATACAACCGAGTCAGTAACCTCGTTGCTGAAGACATCTTGGCCTTCCTAAAAGACAGGAAAAAGACAACTTAGATCAGGATGTCAGCCACAAGCTTTCAGACATTCATGTTCAAAAGAATCACTCCGTCTTTCCTGCTTTCCCCACCGTGGGGGAGTTGATCTTGTGAGGGAACAATTACACTTACAGCCTTCACGAGAGGAGGAAATGGGAGAAAATTGCTGAGGGAAAAAAAGGCATTTATCAAAGTAATTGAGTTGCGTTTTTAATAAAACCAAATGAAAAAGAAAACAAATGATATACAAACAGCCTTAACATTGCTTGGCAATTCCAAATGACACAAACCTCATTCTGCTCAGTTATCTTGCTTATTTTTATAAGAAAGGTTTAATGAGTATATAATTCAGCTGATTTTAATACAATCACACTTGTAGCAGACTGCCTATTTAAAAGAGGTTCCTTTGGCGAAAATTGAGATGAACACGGTGACTTATTTGAAAATAGGAGCAGCAGAATGCAGAACAGGCTTTTTGGAGAGCCTGAAGTTGGCTGTAATCCTCCAGCGATTTCCTGTTAACGGTGTTGGGAATAGCCTGATACAGTTATCAGTGTTGGATATCAGCCAGTTCAGAAATATCAGTGTTTTCTTAATCTTGCAATTACCAGGACCAGCTTTTATCACATTGTGCAACTGAATTACAGCCGACATGAGGCTACTGAATTTGTCTGGCCTGAAGCTGATTGAAGCCTTTAACACTCCGGTGTTTCTCTGTTGATCGGTTTTGATTTGGAATCCACGAGCTGCCTTATGTTCGAGCTGAGTTATAAGTAAGACACAAACAAGCTTGGGAACACTAAAGCTACTGTGCCCTGCTCAGTTCTGGCAGTGTGGGTCTGAACTGAGACCTGTCTCTCTGGAAGGTCAGATGGATTCAAATGTTGGAGAAGCTCCTTTAAGCAAGGCGGGGAAATACTTGGGAAAGAGAAAGAGATGGGAGCAAAAGTGGGATGAAAGAAAAATTCACCAAAGTTAGAAGGATTCAAAATAAAAGGGCGGGAACAAGGGATAGGTGGAACAAGAGTGCAAGTGTTTAGGCACCAAGTACCAGTCTTGAGCACTCCCAGACCACATATTGAGAATAAAGTAAGCTCTATACAATTCCACCCTTGATAGACCATTCCCCCCCCCACACACACACACACTCTGTTGCACGAGTGTGACATTTTTCACTTACCACAACAGCTCTTCTGTCTCCCCTTCGGAATGTGATTGCCAATTTCATGCCCAATTAAAAAGTCTCTGTGCCCACTAGAAACTAGCTCAAGACTGGTCAAACTCACTCCATGCAACTGGCACAGAAGATTATTGTGCTGGATTCAGACCAGAGGTGTAAGGCCAATGTGGTAACTTGCTGCTTCATCCAGTCTCCAGTGGGTGTGATTTTATTTAACAATGGCGCAACTTATAACGCTCTCTTTATTATAAGGCAACAAAATCCTGCTGTGATGATGGAGAAAGAAAGCAATTGGAAATGTTAGCAACGAATAATGCCACAGTTGCCTGTAGCGATTCATCCGGTTGCTAAACTGTTCTTAACAATAGCTGTATGACATCAATAGCTGCGCATTCTACGGATGTCACGAGCCAGAGGTAGAAACACTGTGCTGGTTCTGCATTAAAGATCTCTAATCTGCTTCAAATTCTTTGAGGCTGAACTGATGATTGATTGTTGAAATCTCATTCAATGGTCCATTGCACACTCAGTGCAGTAAGTTTGAATCAGCTCTTAACCGCGCTGGCAGCATAAGCTACAGGATGCCATTGGAGTGCTCTGTGTGGGCAGTGCTGCTAATGTATTTATGAAATAATGAATGTGTACGGTCAGTCTATTAACCTTTGTCAGTTTGGCAAGACATGGAAAGTCCATTACAGAAGCAGCAATATTTTCATTTTCAATTCTTTCTTGTTTAGTAGTGGGAAATCTACCAATAATGTTCAGAAGGTTTGAATTTTTAAGTAAGAATTGTTGAATAGTAAGCGCTCTGGGAAACCACCAAGTTGTGAGTTGTAGTTGTAGTCCTTTTCCACACCCACTCCCTCAGCTGGGATAAGCCATTACAGCACAGAACAGGGATCGATCCTGAAACCATTTGTAAGGCTGAGCTACTTATTAAATCAACTCATTGAGCCATAGAGGAGAGCGATGTTGCTCTCACCTTTTAATATGAAATTAGGTTAGTTGAGATACTATTGGGAAAGTTGATGGCATCGAATCAAATACAGTATGTGATTTACATGACAGGAATCCCCCAGTTTTCATTTCCATGGAATGTTACAGGACAAAAATAGGCCAATCACCCAAACTAGTCTCTGGCCATGTTTGAACTCCACACCAGTCACTGCCCCTCCTAATCCCCTCTCCTTCACCCCTCAATTCCCTTCTCCATCATTATGCATCATTTTAGATATTTCTGTCGATAAAGTACATCTTAGGATCAGGTAGTCTTGTAATAGCCGTATACAGTGTTGGGAACTAAATCACAATGAAATGCTTTGGGTTTATCTGCCTTCAATCATCCATTGACTGATAGCAGCGCTCGAGATGAAAACATTACGTTTATGGAAGCAGCAACAATGGGGGATGGTGACTCCATGTCAATGGTAAGAAAACACCTGGATAACTATTTAGATCTTTGTCAACTGACCAGATGCAGCTCAGGGTGTTCTTTTAGGAAAGTGAACTCAGGAAGTAAACTTTAATTTATTGAGGTAACATAAAAATCCAGTCTCGAGCTCAATATGCCAGGTTTGTAGAACTCAGCAATACTTCATGCAGCCTCATGGGTCTTTCTACCCTTCAGATTTATGACTCTCTTATATCCTTATGTTCTATAAAAGCAATACATCATTTCTATGAGTATGGCTGGCATTAGAGAACTGTACAAGAACTTCTTGTGCTGATATTCTTCAATGTGTGAGACTTTCTCAATCTCGAAGAGTTGGGAGTTTAAGAAAGGTTAATTAAAAAATAATGATTACAACTTCCCACTTGGATCAGAAACTGGGAACTTCAGAAATTGTGTGTTTGTGCGTGTGGCTCTGATCAACTACGGTCAACAAAACACACAATCCGATTGATGTGCTACTGAGTTCTAAAAAAAATGCAGGCTTCTGCTTTCTATATTGTGTATTAGCATTGACTTTAATTAGCTAAAAATCCTATTTGCCAAGATTTGATTTACCATTACAATTCAGTAGTAGAAGGCAAAGCTGTTTAGAATATGGAAACAATTTTTTTCTACAGAAAAGTGAATAAGCACATAATTTTCCCAGCTTTGTGTTGTGATGTCACACATCCTTAATTTCTAAAGCTCTCTGATCTTTATGGCTTGGTCTCTTACCTGGTACCCCTTCCTATTGTCTTTATTTATGTTGAATCAGGCTGTCAGTGTTCTGGTCAGTCACATGTACCTGCAAGGTTACATAACAAATAATTCCCTTCAATCTCTCTTTATTTTCCAGCTTGCCATCCAGGCACATTTAAAGCAAAGCAAGGAAGTGACCCTTGCAACCCCTGCCCCGCCAACAGCAGATCCTTGACGGAATCGGCCGATGTCTGTATCTGCCGAAACGGATATTACAGAGCGGATTTCGACATGGCAGACCTGCCCTGTACAAGTGAGTAGAAGTGCCAGCTGCACTGCAAGATGCTATGAGATATGAAGGGTGCTATATAAATGTAGATGGTTGTTGCAGTAGAGAAACGATGGTAAGGCTAAAGAGTGCAATGTTATTTCAGCAGCGCACTCTCCAGTCATATAACACCTTTTGTGTAAAAAGAGCATATCTGATTTATCGGGCCTTTTTTATTGGGTTAAAGAATAGGGAAACTCATACAAAAGGAATACACTCGCGGCTAAAACATATTCAGTTTTTGTGCTCATAAATATTGTGGCCATGTTAGAGGCATTAACAAAGTTGCACAAGGACTCCATTCATTCCCAGGATGTCATACAACAACAACAAAATTACATAGAGAGCCATTCATGTCGGGAGGACGTCCCAAGGTATCATAGTTTGTTTCTGTTTGGTTGTCACCTCCTAATGTTAGACCAGTCGGGGTTTAAAGGGATCAACATGTTGATTATCACATTTCAATTTATTTTTGTTAAGAGGGGTGTCTGACACAGGCGGAAACACATCACCATGTTAGAGATTACCCACCCAGTGTGAGAGATACACACACACTATGTGGGCCACTTGCACATGAACATTTTTCCGTGGTTTGGAATGCAATGTGTATTCGCCACCCGGAGAGGAAGTGAACACAGTGTGCTGACACCCTCCCTTGGAGCATGCAGTGAAACTCAACACTGGATCATACACTACAAGCGAGCTTCAGTTCAGGGCACAAGGAGCAATGCCGAGTCATGGGTTTTATCATCGTCATTTCCCTTTGACTCCCAGTGTGACTGAAGAGAACAAAACTCTCACTCGAAACCAGCTCCCCAAGCCTCAACTGAATTAGCTGAATTGTCCTGGATAGGACAATGTAGCCTGGATATTGTTTCACCCATTGTCCAGCTGTTGTCACTGAATGGTTTACAGAGTGGATCTGTTTTTCTTCCCCCTATCCCCTTTGTAGCCCAGGCATATTGATACCAACTATACCATCTCATTTGCTGCTACAGTGGGGATCAGCTAACTCAGTGCTGAGCACTGACCTGGGATCAAGCGTGGGACATTCTGCATCCACATGAACCGACCTGTTTAAAACCACACAGTGGCATTTAACCATCTCCCAATGACTGCAGCAGATTTGCACATCTTGTTTCTTCCTGACCAGATGAAAAGAATTAAACTTGTGTTCATCTTTCAGGCATTCTGAAGAAATGCATTCATTCACTTTTTTTAGTCCATCCCCAATGGCTGAAGTCAGCTTTTTTTAATTCCTCTGATCATAGTCACCACCCAGGCAGAAGAGATGTTTGGATATAACTGAGAATAATACCTCCTCTCTGCACCTCTTCTCCTGCTTTCCACAGCTAATACTAAATGCAAATCCATGATTAGGAAGCGTTGTGATCAATTTTGCTTCAAGCCAGTGCTTCTCAAAGAAAGTAATAACTGAAAATAGTATAGTCCTTAGGCATTCTGGCGAGGCTAGGAAAATTGCTAGTCTGGCACTGGATCAGAGAAGCAACAAGGTTGGAGTCTGAATGATTGTTAAGAACACAGCATTGCACATGGTAAATATCAGCCTCTCTGGGGTTTCATTAACTGGAGGCTGAGGGTTAGGGTTTGACAGGTTTTTCGTTAAGCCACTATCGGGGACTTTACTGGGTAAATAACCTTTGCCAATTAGTCTAGATGTTGTGCCTCAGGCGAATCTTTTGCTAATAACATGCCTTGTGAGGCTGAACTCTGGTGGAAATTCAGTGACAACAAGAAAAAGAAACCAAAAAGCTAAATCATATTGATGTTGGAACACATGAAGGAAATAATCACTGTTACAGTTGAGCTTCTGTTTGCTTCCAAATGTCTCCCCTCAACCCCGTGTAGTATTGGCGTGCACTTCCACAGGCATGGAATGCTCTCTGCCATCTTGCCTAAGAGCTCATTCTACATTACATGTGGGTGTGGTGGTGGTAGGGAAATGAATCATCTCAGTTTTGACCCCCTGACCCCAGCTCTGTCCAGCGCCTGGGGACATCCTCCCGAAGTGAAAGGCTCTATACAAATGTAATCTTGTTGTTGTTGTTGTTTGCCCCCGTTGACCATATATGCGGAGTTGCCAACAGGTGTCATTGCAGAATGATGTCAAAATAAAACTTGGCTTGTTTTTTCCCCTTCTCCTCTTCTTCCTCCTCCTCTGTTTCATGCCCAGTCCATTGAAACAATTGTAATATTGAACTGTAACACTAGGGAGTCTCCAACCAGTTGATCACAATCGACTTCTTGGCGTGTCAAGAAAAGGCCCGACAAACTCCAGTACCAGTCCAGGCAAAACTTGCCGAAGTTCCAGCAGTTATCGAGTAGATAGCAATGGCATGGCCTTAAATGAAGAAAAAATTGTCACCACTGTTGCTTCACTGAGTGAATCAACTAACTCTGCACACGTGTCATTGAGCCTGGGATCTTAGTTTCACACCAGGCCTCCCTAACCGAGATTTAAGGAGAGCTATCAAACTTTTTTTCCACCCCCAAAAAAAATCAAAGGGGATAATTCCTGACAGCTCTCACACACCCTCTAGCAACTGGTTTTAGAACAGCTTTGGCTGGAGAGAAAATCTAATTTTGCCTTGTATAAAAACACATTGTGAAATTCAATGTTATTCTACTTTTGAAACTGATTTCACGAAAGTTTTCAACCCACCCCCCCCACCAAGATAAAATTGTTAATAATAAACCAAGGATACAGATACCATTTAAATGCTAACCCCTCTCCCGCTGCAATTTATGAGGTCTAAGTCCCGACAAAGGGTTTGAATCCACAACCTTCTGAGCCAGAGGGGAATGTGGTACCAACTGAGCCAGGCTGACACCTGACTGCATTTATCTTGTCACGGCAGACTGCAAAAATAATCCAACTCTGGCTGTGTGCAATTAAAAAGCAGTAAACACGGTAAAAGTGTAAATCCAAGAGGGAAAAATCTCAGCTGGTAATGTGCAACTGGAAATTTTTCAGTTTAACGCTATCGCAGGTCTGCAGGTATCGATAAACAGCTTCTGTCTCCCTAAAGAGTGACAGCTCTGAGTGTCTCTCAGGAACGGAAGGGTTTTTGTTCTCCTCGCCACTTTTGCTTTGGAGTCGCTGTGTCAGGTTGATTCATGTCTCAGGGGCCTGGAGCCTTCATACCTCATGTAGTATTGATGGATCTCCGCGTGGCCCCTGCAGCTCTGCCCGTTGAGGGACGCGACTCTTCCAGATCCCTGGATGTCATCGGGTTGGCTATCCGATTCTCCAGACTTCACACAAAACGTCAAAAATTAATAAGTTAACTAATTAGGCAGCGTATATTAAATTCCTTTTTTTTATTGAATTAATCCCCAGGACACAGTCATCGCTGCTGTGACCTCCTCTTGTAACTTGTGGAGCAGTCAATTTTATTCGACTAATCAGAGGCTGAATCAGACGTAAAATTGCAGGAATTTCAACTCTGATGCCATGGCGGAATGCACCCCCCACATTCCAGCATCTGGACAGGCTTTGTGATGAAATTAGTTTGGAGGCAGTCTGAACACTTGATGAATTTTCCACTCTATTCCCTATTCTGTAGTTCTGCCCACAAAATCCACTTTGCGAGCCCTCTAATGAAAACCCCGAGTGAAAAATGTGATCAGTAGGCATTCATTGCATGTTCCTCTTGGAGACAGTCTGGAGCCAACCGGTGTCTGATCTGGATTCAAACTTCACTTCTAAACAGAGTTTTGAGTAGTGAATGGTTAATTTATCACTCTTTGTTAACCATTTGTTAAAGGCTGCATATAAATGGACTGGAAATAGGCAAGTTAAAGATTAAATCAAATTAGTTCTAGTGGATTAATAATCAAATGTACCAACATTTCTATTATCCATTTTGTTTATCCGTCTGTATTTAGCTTAAAAATATTTCAAGATGAAATTAACTTTCTAAATACTTCAAGTGCTCGAGTTACCAGATAAATAGGAACTTTGTGGAAATTTGGGTTTGAGAAACATTAGGCACTGGACAATCTCAACATCTCTGCCTGCTATTTATATGGCACTATGTCACGATAGTTCGGTCAGAGAATTCTGTTGAGTGGGGAGATAGCACACAAGGTCACGCAGTATTTTCCTCACGGGGCGCAGAGAGTGGTGAGCGCAAATTGTGAGCGGAATATGGGAAAGTGAGGAGCAAGCATTGTACTTCACCTTCTCACAACACAGCATACTTGCTTTATCCTGATTTTCTCCTCTCAGTATGCGACAAGGAGAGAGAAGGCAAAAGAGAGAGGGTGGGAATTATTTTATAACACATATTAAAAAAAACTTTAAAGAAAAAGTAGAGCGAGCCTACATGGTAGTGGTTTCAACAAAATCCACCATGCCTGGGAGTTAACAAAAGAGAGAGTGTTTTTGTGAGACGTGGTACTGCATAATGTTGCACTCAAATTACCCGCTGGGCCTGTGCAATCAAAATATTCGAGAGAGGTTATTTTTTTTGGAGGGGGAGTGAGGGATAATTGCTCCCATTTTCATGACTGTGTGGGCCCTGCGATTCACACAGAGTTTTATTTTACAACTCTCTCGATTTCAGGAGCCTTTTGTGTGTCAGAATATTCACGGGTCAATGGCAGCAAATTGGGCATCTGTTTGGAGAGCTCCTGCTGGATTCGATTCCTGTGGTACTGACCCCAGTCAGTCACAGAGACTCCCCTCCTCGCCTGGAAATCCAGGTGGCGACTTCACTGTGGAGAAAGAGCTCTCCTGCTAAAAGCAGAGTCATTTAGAAAAGAGAAATAAATAATCTATGCAGTCTTGAGTTTCCGCAGCAGGTTGGGACGCCTGATTTTGTTTTTGCTTTTTACTTCTGGAGCCAAGCTCCTCCGAGCTGCCGTGTTGGTGTCATTGAGCAGACGGGAGAACTGATTGCGATAAATAGAATGGGCTTCGAAGCTGATCTGCAAACAAAAATCAAAAATTAAGCACAGGCAAACCACTTTTCACAAAGCTTTGTTTTGTCCAGAAACAAACAAACGAGGGAGAAAAAAGAAGGGATTAACTTGAGCGTGAATGCTGGAAATCGAGGGTAGAGGGGAAGCAAGGATTGAGAAGAGTTTCAGTGACTGACTGACTGGGTTCAGTACCAGTGGAATCAGATCCCGCAGGCGCCTCCAAACAGATGCCCAATTTGCTGTTACTGACCCATGAATATTCTGACACTGTTAGTGGGACATTGCTGTGTGCAAATTGGCTGCTGCATTAAAAACGTAGTCACCGCAAAGTGAATTGACTGTATATTTTGTGGGCCTAATGCAGCAGCCAATTGCGCACAGCAGTGTCCCACAAATAGTCTTGGGATTGAGTGACCAAATTATTATTATCTTTTTTTTGAAGGGTTATTACCTTCGGAAAAGCAATCCGCCTAACAACCAGGTTCCTGCTTACTGCTAGGTGAACACAGGCGTGCGGATTAAGGAAACTTGCCCGACTTTTCACCCGGCCGGGAATCAAACCCATGTCCTCTCGCTTGCGAGGCGAGCGCCTCTAACCACGAAGCTACAGGACTCCACAGTGTTTAACATTGATGTTTGACGACAGGGATGTTTAACTTTGGCTAACTTTGCTTTACCAGGTGTTCCTTCAGGCCCACGCAACGTGATATCCAGCGTGAATGAAACCTCCATTATCCTGGAGTGGCACCCGCCCCGCGACGTTGGTGGCCGGGATGACGTCATGTACAACATCGTCTGCAAGAAGTGCAATGGCAACCGCAAGTCCTGCACCCGGTGCGACGACAATGTGGAGTTCGTGCCGCGCCAGCTGGGGCTGACCGAGACCAGAGTGTTCATCAGCAGCCTCTGGGCCCATACCCCGTATACGTTTGAGATCCAGGCGGTGAACGGAGTCTCCAGCAAAAGTCCCTACTCCCCACAGCACGTGTCCGTCAATGTGACCACCAACCAGGCTGGTAAGTGGCATTTCTTTCCTCGTTGTACAAGCAGCACACCTCACACCAATCCTCTAACCCCCCCCAGCATAACTCACACCAATCTGCCGACACTCAGCACTGCTCTGTTGACATGTGCACCCTGTTTTCAACTTGTTCTCCTGCGTCAAGGCTGGCACTTGAGCCTTCACTTGGGAGCACAGGAAAACAACCTGCATGTGTTTATCGCACCCAGACAGCTGTACACCTCCAACTTCAAAATTAAGGCTGGGTTTCTTTGGTTGTAGAGTAGCCTAGCTGTTTTGGAGGCCCGTATCCAAATCATATGTTCTGGTCATCTGGAACATGGGAATACAATGCAGATGTTCAGGTGCCACTTTGAATAGCTTCGAGTGACTTCTCGGCTGTTTTGGGGATATTGAGCTGCAGCATTTGCCTACAGATGCAGTCACTACACTTTACAGTACATCCTGTGCAGCACTTTGAGACGTCCTCCTGACATGAAAGGTGCTATCTCGAATACAAGGATTATTATTATAAAATTCTGTTGATTTTATTTACGGAACCCAGGTCCTTTAAAATGGAGTGGAGTAAGCTCTGCGTTTGCTGGCTGAAAAGAATCCACTTTATTTTAAATCAAATTCTATAAGGTTGGATTGCAGGCTTGTTACAAATTCATCAAATTCCTCAATTTGTAGTCTGGTGCATTGGCTAATTTTCAAGGCGAGATTGGTTTTGTTAAGAGAAACAGGCAAAGAGAGTGCACATCATTTTCACTGACTGGGGCCACTTTCTAGTATGTCTGGGTCCACACAAAGCCAGATGACAGCACTGCCTGGCCCTGTTTAATTGTGAAGGCACCACTATGCTGGGTATAGAAGCACTTTGATGAGCCAGCTCATTTCTGTTTCCAGGGTAATCTCCATTGACTGCAATTATTCAGATTGTTGGTCTTAAACAGTGACACTTTACGTTCCTCAGAATCATCATTTAGAATAATTCAACTACAAACAGGTCCAAAACGTTTGGCCCTGTTGCAACTTTCTTAAGACGTGTTCCGTACCTGTGTGCTAAAGGTGAAGCTTATCTTTATTTTGTCAATGTTACCTTTCTACCATTCTACACAAAGTGATTCTGTTTCTGCCCTTTCCTTTTTTATAATCCTCTCTCATTTGAGCCTCAAGAATGAATATCCGGGGACATTGCTTTTGTTTGTTGGTTGCTGGTGATTTGGGATTTTCTGGTCTTATTCAATAATTCTCAGCAGCCAGCAGGTCAATTTGTAAAGCAACTCCCCTTGATACTGTTGGAGCCAGTTGTTAGACTCTATAAATATATATATATATATTATAAAATGTATATAACTATGTGCAGAGTAGAAATGATAGGATTGCTGAAGCTGCTGGTTTAACTGCTGTTGATGGTAATTCAGCTCCATCGCAGTGTTAACTACAGTATCGTGTTGAGCTATCCCATGGTGCACAATGTACTGTGAATGCAGACGATTTTCTTTTTTTTAACAAAAAGCCTCCCAATAAAATATCTCACCAGCACAAAACTGCAAGAGGCAGCATACAGAATTGGAGAAAGCAGAAGAATAGCCTCGAGCTACCCTCGAAACTCAGCGTGACAGACTTTGTGTATTTAACATTCCCGTCTGTGAAGTGTGAGTGATTAATACGGTATTGCATGATGTCATCTTTGATTGTGAATTGTGGTCCTGACCGTTGGATTCTTCCAGGGTTTACTGTAAGCCTCACAATACTGTAGTGAAAGAGCCTTTTATGCTCCTGTTACTCTTTGTGGAAAAACTATATCTCCCAGAGTGAATTCAAAAGGTTTATTTTAGTAAATAACATGAAATATGCTCTGCACGTCAGTCTCATGATGCAAGCTTCCTGCATTTCTCTCTATAATGCAGCATTGTATCCTACTTTACACCTTAAAGAATGGTGCATAAGTTTCTGGCATTTTCATGCATGGTCTACAGCTCCAATGGCATTTGCTGTAAGCCAAGATGCTGACATTTAGCCATGGGCATCAAGTATGACTTAACCTCATCGATTTTGTGTAATGCTTATTCATACTACTTACAAAAATAGGTCACTTCCCTGGTATGTCAATGGTTCATTATCAATCTTCCCCGTCTAGGACTTCTGCCTCCATCTGGGTAGAATGAGAAAAGATACTCCTATAATCTTTATCTTTAAATTATATTTGTCCCTCTATTTTTAAATTGAATTTAACCTGAAAGAATGGTCTGGCCACATCTATGGTGTGTGGGGAATCATGACCTGCTAGCCCTTGTTCTGTGACTCTGGGGTTAGGCCTGTCAACTATCAGAGCAGTGCAATGCCAGCTGTACCCTACAGCTTGACTGACAGGAGCCCTGTTTACAGATGGGAAATCTTAAGCTGTACATTTACATTGCGAATCACAACCATCACCCTATCCTTAATCCTCGTCTGTCAAGGATGTCTAGTCCACTAAGGATTACGGCAAGTAACCGGCAACATACAACACATAAGCAAGTAATGTAGTAACATTTAACATCGAAAGTACAACACGATAGACATCTAAATCCTTCAATTGGTCTGAGTCCAAAGGAGCGGATTTATACGTAAATTTCAGGAGATAAGGTTCCTAATTTGGACTAAAATGTGTCACTTATACTCTCTGCAATGCTCTGCAACCTCACTATGGGCTAATTCTTGAAAAGTGAACCCTCTGCTTACATGAAGCATCGTGGGTTTTGTACCGTGGTGTAGGCGATTCAGAGAAATAAGTTTTCTTTTGAGCGTGTCCATTTCAAAAGCCTGGCTTTGTGGCTTAGTAATTGCTCAGTTGCCTGTATCAATTCTGTAGTATTGTTAGTGCTGATTGGTGCTTTACTTTGATCTCATGATGAAAATTGCTGCTCGCTGTACCAGAAGTAAGATCACCGGGTGGTGTTGGTGGTCAAGGTTTGCGGCACCTTTTATAATAGGGCTTCTCTATTCAGCTTAGTAATGCTTGGCAAAAAATAATAATAAATCCAACATGGGATAACAAAGGCAGCCCGCGCCTGTCAGCATGAGCAACAGAGCAACGTGGAGTTAGCTCAGCTTTTAAAACGGTCATTAATATAATTATAGCTGTCGTCTTCCACAGTCATCACTTCAGAGTCGATGAAAATGTCAAGGGGTTTAGGCTGCATATAAATTATTCGTCCTCCTGCTTTATTGACAGCTGTAAATAAGGCCTTTCTGGCCCTTCTGTCTGTGTGTTTGTTAGCAGTGTGGGCATCGATTTAATTTCCAATTTCACAACTGATCCCGTTTCAAGTGATAATCTGGCGATTATTTCAATTTGGTGCAGGTTTGGAAATATCCAGGTTGGAAGGGAATGCATGAAGTATACAGGAAATTAATTTTTTTCCACTGACCATCTATAAATGTGTCTTCGTGCTCTGAGGAAAGGGGAGTTTAAAAAGGGTGGTCTATCAGGATGGTCTAGTGTGCCTCCTTGTGTGTTTCATCGACTCTCTAGCTTTCCTAGTAATGATCCTCACTCTTTAGATGCCAGGTCACTTTTTTCTCTGCTCACCCATTATTTCTCTGCCCAAATGAAATATTTCAACAGCATTCAACTGTTCTAGCCCTTCCATTTATATAGTCCGGGTAGTTAGCGTGTGAAAGAATCAAGCGCTCTCATTTAAAGAACCCGCTCTTCAAGGCACATTTCAATAAGTTTAATGCAACAGGAAATGTTATAAAAAGCACTGATCCTTTAAATGGCGCACTCACACATCAATGCCTCTATAGTCTCGATCAAATCGTAGTACCTCACACTTGCCATGCTTCCGTGAGTCTTTATTGGAAAACTATTACTTTTCTAATGGCTTCCTCTGAAAAGTAATTCCGCTCAGAATCTTAACAGCATTACTTGATGGAATACACATCTTTGACACTGGGTTAAAGTTCACAGACTGGAATTTTGCTTTGTAATTTTCTTTCTCCCCCACCAAAAAAAAGGAACCCAGCTACATAGCATTGATCACAAGCAGAAGTTTACTCAGATAAGGTTCGGCATTTTGCTCAATGTGTCTCATGAAGACTGTATTGTCGTGTGTTGGATGATGTATAATTTGCAGAAAAAGTTGACTTCCAGTCCTGCACCAAATTATTTCACTGTTACTTTGCTGAACCACTGTTTGCCTACAAAACACACAGTCACTGCTCTTTACAGTATATGTTGTGAAGTCCTCCAAATGCGAAAGGTGCTATATAAAATGTCACGATTATTATTATTACATTATTATCATCGGTCAAAGCTTTTAAAGCGTCTTAAAACAGGAACTAATTTCAGTCAGTGAGGAAAAGTGAAGACAAACTGCAAATGCCAGAAATCTGAAATAAAATCAGTAATAGCTGCAAATCCACAACTGGTCGATCACTATCTGAAAGAGAAAGATAGGTTCATATCCTGTGTCCAACCCTTCATTAGAACAGGAATGATTTAGCTGGAAAATCCCAATTGACCTGTCTTTCTCTTTCAGATGCTAATTAACCTGTAACTTCTGTTTTGATATTCTTTCTACATCAAAACATATTTCTCCTCTCCACTCCGCCCTCACCCCCCACTCAAAACCCCTGTGAAATACATATGCTAAGCAACTTGCATTTTATGCATTATTTTCATGCTTCGATTTAAAATTTTGTGAGATTGACAGAAGATAGTGTTAAGTTATGTGCTGATGAATACCCTTTGTGCCTTATTATTGCAGAATGTGGCTGTTCAGGGTCAATGTCCCTGCAATTCCTGAATGAATATTTTTCCTGCAAAAAAACAATCCCTGTGTTTGAATTCAGCTTTGCATTCAGCTCCTCTTGTCCTGTAATTGGAAGCAGAAGCCCACTTCAGGGGTCTTGTTACTGGCAAACAGTGGAGCGGGTTCACTCAATCATAAAAAATAGCCAGCAGCGTGTTTCAAATTTCTCGAGCCTTTCACTCAGGTGTAATTGGAAATGAACTGATGCAAA